AAATGAGGTAAGGAAGAGAGCAAGCGGTGAGAGAAAGGACACAGAGGCAAGACCTGTATTCCCAATACTGTCACCAACTTGTATAACTTTGATCCAGTCATTGAGCCTTTCAAGAGGGTGTTTTAATCTTAAAAGCTGGGCAAACTTATGCAACATTATGGGCTCATCTTTTTTTTTTTCCAATTAGTTATTGCCTTAGAGGAAAAAATATGAAACCTAATCTTAGTTATCTATCCTTTCTTCCTATTCTTCTACTGCCCCCCCTTTTTTTTTCCATTACCATCTCTCTCCTGAAGGAATAAGCATTTACTCTTAAACTATTAATATTGATTTGGGGCTTAGCACATTCCAAGTACTCTCCAGGCACTCTGCTAAGTCCTTTATATGCACTTACTTAATATATGGAACCCTATGCAATAATTACCCAATCTTCAAATGAGGAAATTGAGGTTTAAGTAATTCACCCTAGACCACAAAACAAGTCTTAAGGCCAGAATTTAAACCTGGACTAGCTGATTCTGTAGAGAATACATGTTGTTTTCTCCAGCCTAACCCTCATTCTCCCTTCTATTAACAGCACCCCATTTTCCTTGGGAATCAGCCCTCCCTGCTTTCAATTCATATAAACCACCGGTTCCCAGGCAGGGAGTTTGACCTAGGTCTGACCAATCAGACCATCGCACCCCTGCACTACCATAATTTAGGAATGGGCATGTAGGACTGTTCTTGGAATTGGCAGAGAGATTTACTTCTGGGCTTTTTAGTTATATGAAACAATAAATTCCCTTTTTGCTTAAACTAATTTTTTTAGTGTCCTAACACAGTCTTCAACGAAAAAGATCTTGACCACTGATTCCAGAGAAGTGAGTAATTCTCTCTTCTCACCACCTCTGAATGTACACTCCAATGCTGCCATCTTCATAAGAAGTAGTAGAAGAGAATCACAGGCTTCTGAAATCAGACTGGAAGAACAACAGGAATTCTAACCTGGTTCCTGGGATCTTTCAGATAATAGGAAAGCTTGGGTCTGTGAAAATGTATATTACTTATACCACCCTAGCCCCAGGACCAAATCCCAGCAACTGAAAGTCTGTCAGACCAGACCCAAACTGCCCAAAAGTTTCTGAGCTAAGGGATCACAAGATTCCTGAGTATTCTTAGGATACCTTAACTGCTAATATTCTCATTCACTGAATTTCAATGCAAATCAAGAGAACCAATTTGGTATATCTCTCCAATCACCAACACCACATTTTAAGAAGTATCAATTTGCTTTAAGGTAAGGTATAAGGTGACTTCATATAAAATATTTTTTGATTTATAAACATTAATTTACTTTTAATGAATATCAACACAGAACAATAATTAGGATAAGTAACCTACTTTATATTTTATATTTATACAGTATTCACTGAATGGCATCCTCATCATGCTATAAAAAAATTTAGGCCAGGTGCAGTGGTTCACATCTGTAATTCCAGCACTTTGGGAGGCTGAGGCGGGCTAATCATGAGGTTAGGAGATAGATACCATCCTGGCTAACACAGTGAAACCCCATCTCTACTAAAAATATAAAAAATTAGCCAAGCATGGTGGCACACACCTATAGACCCAGGTACTTGGCGGGCTGAGGCAGGAGAACTGCATGAACCTGAGAGGTGGAGGTTGCAGTGAGCCAAGATCACACCACTGCACTCCAGCCTGGATGACAGAGTGAGACTCCATCTCAAAAAAAAAAAAAATTTTAATAAAATTTCCACTCTTCTCTCTAGGCATGTTACATTTTGTTCTACCTGCGCTTTCAAACTTCAACTTCATATGCATAAGTATTTCTCCCGCGTGCAATTACTCATTAAATATTTGATTTACCAGTGTGGGCAGAGGTCCTGATTATTTTCCTTTAGTTAATATTAACATTTTGCACTTAACATGGGAACATTTCATTTCTACTGCTACAAAAAAGTAAGCGACTGAAAAGTTCAAGTAGGAACTGCTGACCTCTAACGGGAGGCTGGATTAAATACAAGACCAGGCTTTAATGAGTTGGTGTGTCTGCCATTGGAAAATGACTGTGCGAAATGAATACAGTTAGTCATGAAGGAGATACACAAACAAGGAAACAGCATAAGGATTAGAGTCAGGAGTCTCAATTTAAAAGCCAAATGTATTTTTATTTAAGTAATTCAATTGTATGATTTTATTCGACTTCCAAAATTTTGCAAACAAGATTTTCCTCTTTCAATTACACACATATACTGCTTAGGAATGGATTAGCAGAGAAAGACATTCTTACATTTCATAAAACATTTTAATGGATTCTGAAAGGGCATTGCTGTTAAGTCATGCTCTCCAAAAATTTTCTAGTCCACGATTATCAAAACATTCAATGCAGTACCTCATTTTTATCAAACAAATACTGTCTAGAATGGCATTTTACTGGTCAAGTAACATAGAGCTTTCCAGCTTTAAGAAGAAAAATTAGGAAAAATGTCATTTTAGATCAGGCTCACAATTTCCAAAGACACAATGTGAACATTTCAGAAGCACTTAAGATGTATTACAGGTTAAGAAAAAAAGCAGCAGAAGCAGCACATCGAATAAAGCTCTTTATATCACTTTTCCATTTCAGAAAAAAAGGGCACTAAAAAAATTAAGCTCTCTGGTTTAAAAAAAAATGCCTAACATAGCTATATCTTTTCCTATTATAGAAATCTGAGAACATGTCTGTAGTCATTTCAACCACAATAAACATCTTTCTCAAGTCTCACCATTGGTGGCACAATTCAATGGCTAGGGCCTTAGAAGAAAAACAATCTGTGTCCAGGTGCACATCAATATAACAAGTTAGGCTAAAGTTCAGTAGAAATAATATCCCCAAAAAATATTTTCTCCTTGCTCTTCTCAACCAGAACGGTCAACTCTGTGCACCCAGATTCATGATACCCGTGGGTCTGTCTTTCCTATTACTGTTAGCACTCACCTCAGTAGTTAATTCACTTTATACACTGCACATGCTTTCTATTTTTTCAATACTATTATCTCTTAAATTTGCACCTGATCGTTTGTGATCTTTAAATAATAAAGGGCAACCCAGGAACAAAGAAAGGGTCCTCAAATCCCAACTCCTCCTCCACCCTCATTCTCTCCACTTTTGAAAGAATTTCCCACTTCCTTTTTTTGGTTTGTTTTTGTTTTTTAAATTTCTCTCCCCTTGGCTGTTTACCTATGCCCTCCTCTATCACTGCTTTCAACTTTGGGTGTACAACTGCAGAACTAATGGTAGCAAACCGGAAAAATAATGTTAAGCCACCAAGAAAGACAAAGAATCTTTTTAAAGGTGCCAACTATGAACCAGGTGCTTCATATATGTTCTCATCTGATACTCACAGCAGCCTAATAAAGTATTACGATCCCAGTTTTTCAGAAGAAAAAAGCAGACTCTGAGAGGTTGAAGAATCTGCCTAAGGTCCAGTGTGACCAACTATTTCAGTGTGCCCAAGACAGGTTCCTGGGATGTGAGACTCAGTTTTAAAACTTGGACAGTCTTGGGCAAAGTTGGTCACCCTATTAAGGACACACAGCCCATCCTTACCCTTTCGTAGGTTCAGATTTGAATCCAGTTTAGTTGGGCTCCAAAGCCCATGTACTTTCCACATTCCTGCTTCTCCCAAACTGAACTCCCTTGGAACTTCAGAAGCTCCATTGTTTTTTCACTCCAAAGGCTTCTGGGCCAAATCTAATTCTAGTGAAAAATGTTTAGTCTTCATTCTATCTTTTCTTCTGCAAGTATACAAATCTTTCTTAACTACCTTATACAAAGCAGCCCCAAAACCACCACTGACAGCTCATATGGGACATAAAATATTAACGTGAAAAATTAAAAGACAAAAGCACCAAAGAAGGGTTAATTTCTTTTAACTCAGCTTACTTCTCCTCTACCACCATAAGCAGTATAACCTCTTGGGGTAGGGGGCGATGATTAGGGAAGGGAAAAATAAACTGTTCTTGCCTCAAAGATATGCGTAGGAATGTATGAAGCAAGCCTGTTCTTCCCACCATTTCCCCGCCCCATCAAGAGACTGAGATAAGATCACCGATTTAAAGCAGTAGTATAAGGCAGGGTAGTTCCACCCATGTTTTAAGGGGTGGTATCAACAGGTAGCATTTAGTGGTGGCTTGCAATGAAAGGGTGTCTAAGGTTTATACCATCAGGAGGCCTATACCTTGTCATTGATCCTCATTCCACTGTTACATTCCAACCCCTCAGAATCTTAAACCTGGCCTGGGGCCTAGTGACACTATTACTGTCACTCAGTGTCCCCAGTCTCAGAGGCCACCAACAACGACTTAAAGGGAATAAAGAATTGAGAGTGCGTCTGAGGTGGCATCATAAGAAATGCTTTTGGCAACCCGAGTAGGAACTATCATATATAGAACGTTTCTGCAGGAAAACAGATTTTTCTGAAATCAGTATCATACAGAAACTATTATAGAAAACTGTATGCAAGAGAATACCTAAGTACTTCCTCAAAGGCAATGGGCTTTACTTCCACAACACCTAAGGCACCGCTCGAATGAATGTTTAGTAACTATTACTGATTAAATGAATTTTCCACACTCGCGAAATTTCACTGTTTTTCCTCCGTTCATATTTCATTGACTCCCAGCACGAGACACAGTCAGTGCGTCGGTAGATGCGCCCTACACTTCTGAACTCAAAGTGTGGTCCACGGACTAGCTGCACCTGCATCATCCGCGAGATTATCAAGTCATAACCTGCGTTTTCAACAAGATCCCCAGGTAAATCACATGCACACTGAAGTTTCAGAAACAATGCCTTAGAAGTTTGCTGTACACTAATCCTTCCAATCCCCAACTCCACTTTCATCAGCGTGAGAAAAAAAATGGAGCAAACAGCACGCACAGGGCCAGCGACCAGCCCACGGTGGGGCTGGGACACCTGTCATCCCGTCCTCCCCGACAGTCCCCCCTCCGCTCACCTTGATGCGCTCACCATCAATCTCCACCGCTCGTTCTCGGAAATCCACCCCTATCGTGGCCTCGGTGCGGTCAGGGAAGCGGCCAGCGCAGAAGCGGTAGGTCAAGCACGTCTTGCCCACATTGGAGTCGCCGATCACGATTATCTTGAAGATGCGGGAGCGGGCAGGAGGCAGAAACCCTGAGGCCCCCGACACCGCCCCGCTGGACGAAAAGCTTGCCTCAAGCGAGGACTCCATCTCCTCAGCCATTTCCCCGACCCGCCCCAAACTGAGGCGGAGGAAAGGAGACACAGAGAGGCTGAGAGATTACGCCACCGCGAGCGCGCGCGCCGAGCCGGCCACTTTGGCTGCGCAACGTCCCAGGAGCCACCGCCCGCCGACCCCAAGCGCGCCTGCGCACCTTCTCGCCCCGCCCTAGCTTGCACAGGTGTGGCGCCCGCCCGCCCTGCCGCACTGAGCCGCGCGCCCGCGGTCCCACGCCCGGCGTCACTCGGGCTGGCGCCGGTCTACCTGGCAGGCGTGGGGTCTGTCGGGGGCTTGACGGCGGCGCGGAAGCCCAGCCTGCCGAGAGGCTGCGCCGAGCGCCCCAGGCCCAGCGCCCTGGCTGACCCAGACCAGCCACGTCCAAGGTTCCCGCCCTCTGGAGGAAGCCGCGCAATCACTCCGGGGGCGGGGAGTGAAAGACAGCTGAGAGGAAGGAGGTACCACGGGCGCTCTCTCGCGAGAGGGCCGCAGAGTCGCCTCTGACAGGGGCGTGTGCCTGGCGAGCGACGGTAAGGACGTCGCCGGGCTCCGGCGTCGGGTTCAGTTCCGGCATCCACATATCGTTGGGTCGCCCCGGAGAGGAGGCAGGTTCCCTCAGCCTGCCGCTAGGGATGTGGCGTCGACTGCGCTTAACCGCCGCCGCCTCCTCTTTGAACTGCGGGAGTTGGGATAGAGTCCAGGGCTGAATGGGTGGGACGCGAGACGTCACCGAAAGCCTGCCGTGCGCGAGGTGCACTTGGAGGCTGGGTCTGGGCCGCGCTGAGTTTTGCAGCCTAAGATCTTGGCAGGCGCATTGCTGTGGGCTGCCGAAGAGCAGGCGGGAGTTCGAGGCCTCCCACCGCCTAGGCGCAGCACATTTCGCTAGGCATCCCCAAGTCCCCAAGAATATCGCGTGACCCTTGTGGCCAAAACTTGCTGGGCTAATGTCCCCAGCCCAAAAAGTAGAGCACATCACATGTCGGCCACCTGGGGGCATTGAACCTGGGAGTTACTAGGCGCCTCTGGTGGAAATAAAACTCGTTATGCCCTAGTTATATCTTAGTGCCTGGGTGACGATAATTTCGTGGTTAAAGATTGACGCACTTAGGGGTTGTCTTTGTCTACCTAAGGAAAATATCAATAGATTAAATCCCCAACCCTAAAGAATCTCCGTGAATTCTTCTTTGGAAACATGTTATATTGTAATATAAAAGGTCCCAAATATACAAACAGATTGCTTTTTGTTAAAAGTTTGTTTTGTTTTGCAGTGACATCTGTTTGAGCAGATGGATGTGCTGTTGGGAAAGTCAAGGACTGTCGGAGAGGAGAACATGGCAGGCCTTAACTAAAGTGAGGGGGACAATAGAGCATTAAAAGTTCTAGGAAAGGAGATAAGCTGCTTATTCCATCAGATGAAATGACAATGTAGTCATAGCATTTCACATGAGTGGTGAAACCTAAACATGCCCAGAGATGCCAGGAATTTGCAAAAGCCTTGATATAGGGTAATTTCTGTTGCTGTAAAAAGACTTTCTACAGTCACTAATATACCAAGTTATGTTTACTAGAGGAAAAAAAAAAGTTTACTCACCTAGTTTATAGAAATGAGCTGAAAATGTAATCCTAGCACTTTGGGAGGCCGAGGTAGCTGGATCACCTGAGGTTAGGAGTTCAAGACCAGCATGGCCAACATGATGAAATCCTGTCTCTACTAAAATATAAAAATTAGCCGGTCATGATGGCAGGTGCCTGTAATCCCAGCTGCTTGGGAAGCTGAGACAGGAGAATCGCTTGAACCAGAGAGGTGGAGGTTGCAGTAAGCTGAGGTTGTGAAACTGCACTCTAGCCTGGGCAACAGAGTGAGACCCTATCTTAAAAAAAAAAAAAAAAAATGTGAGTGTGGTTGTGTACACCTAGTTCCTGCTACTCAGGAGGCTGAGGTTGGAGGATCTCTTGAGCCCAGGAGTTCAAGACTGCAGTGAGCTATGATTGTACCATTGTACTCCAGCCTGGGTAACACAGAGAGACTCTCAGCTCTAAAACATAAGAGTAAAAAATAGAATAGTATAAGGATAATCTTATATACAAAATAGGACTACTCAATTTCAGGTTTTTTTATTTTTATTTTTTTAACTAGAGATATGACCTCCTGGTGACAGTGCCCATTTTCTAACTTGTCTTACTCAGAAACAGCTTTTAGATAATTTTACTCTTTAAATTCAGGTCTGAGCATGGAGGACAAAGAATTCCCTTGATTGCCTATAAAAGAAAGGGTTTCTCAACCTTGGTGCTATTGACATTTTAAGCTGGATAATTCTTTGTTGTGGAAGGCTGTCCTGTGCTTTGTAGGATGTTTATTTTATCAGCATCCCCAGCTTCTACCCAGTAAATGCCAGTAGCACCTCACCACTGACCAAAACTGCCTCAAAATGTTGCCAGATGCCACTTGGGGACAAAAATCCTCCCTCCCTCCTCCTTGAATGCTACTCGTACTCCTTGAGCCTACAGAAGGGCTCTTCTCAGAATTCTGATATCCTGTTCATCCCAGTTGATAGTGGGAATTACTTCTCCTTTGAAGACACAATTCCAGTTGCCCTGAGAAGTGTGGCATTGGCCTTCCTGTCTCTTACCAAATTACCATATCACTGTGTTTAGTAACCCCAAACATCATACTAGGGCATTAATTTCAGTACATAAACAGTAAACTAGTATTCTTTTATAGGTTAGCTTACTGAGTTTCAGAATTCTTCAAATCATATCTTCATAAGTAGGATCATTGTGGAGTTAATAGAATTTGAACTGTGTACTCAGTACTATGCTAGTGGTTGGGGCAAGGGGAAGATAAAAAATAAGGTGTGATTTTAGCCCACAAAGAATTTATAATCTGTCTGGAGAAGCAAGTTAATATGGAACCATTAGTGAACACCTGGACAGAATGAATGCTAAATTTTATCTTAGAGGTGCTTGGCCTGGACTTCAAGAATTCTAAATAAATTGAAGTATGTTCAGGGTAAGAAGTGTTAAAAATAGCTCTTCCTACTTGTAGGCAGACAGGAAGCTAGGATGGCAAACCATCTGTATCGGGCAATAAACTGGAGATGAATATGTCTGTGGTAGTGGGATTCTTCTAGCTAATAAACCCAGATTGTGAATTAGCAAGACTTGCAAATATTTGATACATGTAAAAAGTGCAATCATGGCCTCTGTTCTCTCCTCCTCTGTCTCATTCTCTTTATTAGTCGGGGTTCTCTAGAAGGACAGAACTATATATAAAGGGAGTCTATTAAGTAGTAGTAACACACATGATCACAAGGTCCCACAGTAGGCATCTGCAAGCCGAGGAGAAAAGAAGCCAGTCTGCGTTTCAAAGCTAAAGAACATGGAGTCCAATGTTCGAGGGCAGGAAGCATCCAACGCAGGAGAAAGCTGTAGGCTGAGAGGCTAAGCTAGTCTAGTCTTTTCACGTTTTTCTGCCTGCTTTATATTCTGGCTGTGCTGGCAGCTGATTAGATGGTGCCCACCCACATTAAGGGTGGGTCTGCCTTTCCCAGCCCACTGATTCAAAGGTTAATCTCCTTTAGCAACACTGTCACAGACACACGCAAGATCAATACTTTGCATCCTTTAATCCAATCAAATTGACAGTATTAACCATTACAAGTCTACCCCTTATCAACTTGAACACATACACATCTCCTGAGATCATTCATATTCTTCAAATAAAGACAGTAATAAGGTCATAATTACGACTAACATAATACAACTATCCTTAGTACAACCAGAAATGCACCAATCTCCAACCCAAATGCTATTACATAAAGTTAAAATACTTAAATGATGATATGAAGTCAATCTATGTCACATGATAAAGGAAAAAGAAAATAAAATGAAGATATTTTCTTAGTACAAGTGTATATATGCACAAACATGTTTTTAACGAAAGGAGGAAATAATGACAATTACAGTCCTCATTTCTGCAACTGGTCACTTGATTGTAACTGGCATAGATGACTAGCTGCCTCTACTACCCATTCTGTATTCCCTTTCCCTTCAGCAAGCACCTCAGCAGGTCATGGTTATTTTCCTGGTGGAGTGACCCAAACCTTCATTCCTGAAGGGTCTGGGTCATTTGTAGTCCTGCCTTGATTGGGCTTTTGTAGTTTCCCGTTGACTTCAACCACAGAGCATGGTAATATTAAGAGATGCCCTAATGGATCTCCTGTACTACATGCATACTCTCTCTTACCTTTGTTGTGGAGTAGTAGACTGATTTCATCTTGGTAGCCTGGGTCAGTCGTCCCAGCCAACACTGTCACTCCCTTCTTAGACTGTTGACTTAAAGTTAGGGGGAACCCCAAGTGTCCAGGTGGCAATCTTCCAGTTTAATGGAATTGCTGTTACGTCACCTTATGGCAGCGTTCCTCCCTCTCAAACTAAGACCTCTAGGCCAGCACAATGTAACGTCATGGGAACAGGAAGCAAACATTTTGCTAGTGAATCACTAAGGGTGATGATGGGTGGTGCCACTTTCACTTCCACCCCTTGATTCCTGGACCTGTGAATCCTGGCTATGGAAGAAATAGTACCATAGATTGGACACTGATTCAGAGCATTCATGGCCTTCTGGAGAACTTTGCCCCAGCCCTGAAAAGTATTGTTACCTGGTTGATGTTGTAATTGTGACTTAAAAGGCTATTCCATTCTATCAATCAATCCATGATGGGGAACATGGTAAGACCAGTGACTTCCATAAGCATGAGCCCACTGCCACTCCTCTTTAGCCATAAAGTGAGTGCCCTGGTCAGAGGCAATGCTGTATGGAATACCATGATGGTGGATAAGGCATTCTGTGAGTCCACAGATAATAGTCTTGGCAGAAGCATTGTGTGCAGGATAGGCAAACCTATATCTGTATTAAGTGTTTATTCCAGTGAGGACAAACCTCTGTCCTTTCCATGATGGAAGAGGTCCAGTATAATCAACATGCCATTAAGTAGCTGGCTGGTCACCCCAAGGAATGATGCCATATAAAGGGCTCAGTGTTGGTCTCTGCTGCTGGCAAATTGGGCACTCAGCAGTGGCCATAGCCAGGTCAGCCTTGGTGAGTAGAAGTTCTGTTGCTGAGCCCATATGCAACCTTCATCCCTGCCACCATGGCCACTTTGATCATGGGCCATTGGGCAATGACAGGGTGGCTGGGGAAAAAGGCTGAGTGGTGTGCACAGAAGGGGTCATCCTATCCACTTGATTATCAGAATTCTCTGCTGAGGTCACCCATTGGTGAGCACTCACATGGGACACAAATATCTTCACAGTTTTTGACAACTCATAGAGGTCCATCCACATACATCTTGCCCAAATTTCTTTGTCACCAGTTTTCCAATCGTGCTTCTTCCAAGTCCCTGAGCATCCAGCCAAACCATTAGCTACAACCTATGAATCAATATACACTTGCACATCTGGCCATTTCTCCTTCCGTGCAAAGTTCACAACCAGGTGCATTGCTCAAAGTTTTGCCCACTGGGAGGATTTCCTTCCACTGCTGTCCTTTGGGGTTGCCTAGGAAGGGGCCGTAGTGCTGCAGCTGTCCACTTTTGGATAGTGCCTACTGTGAACTGTGCAGAACTGTGAACCAGGCCCTAGGCTTCTCTTTCTCTGTCAACTGATCATAGGGAACTCCCCATGAGGCCTTCAATGCAGGCTTGGGGAGAGAAGTCAGGGTGGCAGGAGTGAAGACCATG